TATTTGAATTTTACTGGTGGAGAAGAATATCACATGTATTATGGACTGCCAGAAGAACAAACAAATCTGTCCTGGAAGAGTACCACCAGAGTGCTCCTTAGAATGAGGATGATTCTGTGCTGATCACAAAATTATCAAGGCAAGTGAGGAAAAATAAATATTTGCCAATAACATATGCAACAAGGGACTTATCTCTAATATTTATAGAATTTTGCAATACCTCAACATCAAAATGATAACCAATCTAATTAAAAAGTAGGCAGAGGTCATGAATAGACACTTCATCAAAGAACATATTCAGGTAGTTAACAAACACATGAAGAAATGCCATTAGAGGGATGAAAATCAAAACAACAATGAGATATGATCTCACCCTAGCAATAATAACAAAGTTCAGCAAGTTATAAAACAATAAATGCTGGTGACAGTGGAGAAACTGTAAACTTTCATACACTGCTGGTGGTACAGTAAAATGGTGCAACTGCTCTAGACAACTGTATGATTCTACCTTAAAAATTTGGAAATAGAAATACCATTTGATCCAGAAGCTCCACTGTTATTGTTGTTATGTGCCATCAAGTCAGATCTGACTCATAGTGACTCCTCCTTGGGTTTCCAAGGTGGTATCACTACGGAAGTAGATTGCCCAACCTTCCTTCTGAGGAGTGGCTGGTGGGTTTGAACTGCCAGCCTTCTGATTAGTAGTCTTAGGCACTATGTTACCAGAGCTCCTACCATATACTATATTATAGACAAAAAAAAAAAAAACAACCCTCAAATTGGATCAATGATCTAAATGTAAGAACTAAAATTTTAAAACTCTTAGAAGAAAACATAGGGGTAATGATTTGGAATTTGTTTTCAAAAATGAATTCTTAATTATGATACCAAAAGCATGAGCAGCAAAAAACAAAATAGATAAACTGGAGCTCATCAAAATTAAAACTTTTGTGTATCAAAGAACTTTATCAACAAAGTGAAGAAACAACCCACAGAGTGGGAGAAAATATTTGGGAACTATATATCTGATAAGGGCTTAATATCCAGAATATATGTGTATATATATTTAAAAATTTTTAAATTCAATAACAAAAAGACAAAAAATACAATAAAAAATGGGCTAAGAACATGAAAAGACATTCCACCAAAGATGATATATTAAGGGCAAAAAAGCATGTAAAAAGTTGCTTGATATTATTATTCCTTGCTGCTGTTGTTGTTGTTATGTGCCATCAAGTTGGACCTGACTCATAGTGACCCCTCCTTGGGTTTCCGAGGCAGTATCACTATGGAAGTAGATTGCCCCATCTTCCTTCCGGGGAGTGGCTGG